ACTTTTCGGTGGGTAATACACACAACGCACTGCTAGTCGAAAAATCGACAACGCGTTTGACTGAATGTTTGAGACGCGTGATACTATGACGTGAAATGACATCTGCGCCTTCCGAGTACAACACGCGTCACATCCTCCTCTGGGACAAGTCAAGCAAGCTGTATCACCACGGACAACAGTTCCTCCAGTGGTCTCTTCTTTTCGACAGCGAAGTTTGGGCCCAGCGAGAGCGCGTTATGAACGAAACCTGAAAACATTCGTTGTTTGTGTATCCTGTGCCATCTAAAAGTTTCCCTTATCCTGTGGAATGTACTATATTGCACAAACAAAGCAGTGTCTAAATAACAGATTACGCAAGCACTGCTATAACGCGAGAAATAAGCTTACGGCGGGAGGATTCCTGGCGGCACACTGCAAAGGCTGTGGGTGCTCTCCTGATCTGTATAGTTCCATAGTTATTGGTCGTTCTAGAGATCGGCACACATGGAAGATAATAGAAGCCGAGGCTATAGAAGAGTTAGGCCATTTGTGTGTAAGCTAGTCATCGATTTCCTTGTCAGAAAAGGAAATGACGTTCCTTCTTTTAAGAACACGTGCAAGATGAGTTTTGCTTTGTCGTGGATGTAAAAAAATGGGTGTGATCCGCATGAAAAAAAAAAACTATTGGAAGTTTAGCGCCGACCTATCTCTTCGTCTGGGTCGCGTCGCTTTCTTTTCTTTTATGTACTGCGCTAATACACGCTACGTTCATGGATGACCAACTCGACCATTCAGCAACCCTTCTGAACTTTAGGGTACAACTTTTCGGCTTTCTTGCAAGGTGCGTTCGACCAGATGAAGCAACAATGGTACGCGCAAGGTTGGCCTAGCAACGGCACCGGATATCTATCGCATGTGACGTTGCTATGGCAACTGACGTGGTCACGGCAGGAACTAAAGCTGGTAGCGTACAATCTCGAACTGTTTAGAGTTTGTACACTTCCAGCTTTAGTTTCTGATGGTTCTTAACATGCCATGGCCACACTTTCTGACTAGAAAATTCATATTTCCAACAAAGTGTTGCTGACTACGGCAACACAACTTTGTGTTGTAGTTGCGTCGTCCCGCCGTTAAATATCTGCTGCGGTCAGCAGACCAAGAGGCACGCGGCGTTCTTACTTCATCTGGTTGATCGCATTGCGTTAGTGTCTAGACCTAATGAGCAGCTTTCTTACACTGTGGTTCAGGGTTAGAGTCTGCCCACATAGATTGATGCCGCAAATTACAGGTGGCTATAGTGGTCTCTATTTCTCGCTCAAATTAGGGCAAATGAGAAAATTTTGAGGGTGGTCGGGCATTTTGGCGGAGCGTGGCGCAATTTCGGCAAATTTCATGCTTTTGGGACAGCTCGGCGCTTGGCGATTGGGTCAATTTTATCAAAGTGGCCCAATCAGCTCAGCTGTGTCACCCCTGCATTCGAGCATCACGTAGCAAATTTCAAAATGTCTTTTTCGTATTTTCATGACATTGGCTCAACGAAACTTTCCAAACCATCGTATGATAGGTCTAGAACCCACTGAACACAAAGTGCTTCATTTTTATTGAGAAAAAGCTATGTGGGACGCCCCCCGCCCCCAGTAGACGCCTTCAATATTTCGTACGTCACCATGTTTGGCACGGCAATCTCAGTGGAATCACGACGGAAATTTTCTTCTTGGATGTCTTCTCAATTGCCAAGCATCATGTCGTGGCAAGAGAGGTGTTTTGGGAATATTGAAATTGCAGTTATTAATATGAAAAAAACTGATTTGCTCTTTAGTGTATTTTGAAAGAAAATGAAAGCGTACGTGAATTTACGACAGAACTGCCACAGGAACTAAACCTTCAGTTTTAGACCTAAGGCTAACGTTTTAAACAAACTGGGGTGAGACGGCTAAAGCTAAATTGAGAGCCGTTTTTAGAACAATAAAATTTCAGTTTTGAAGCAGTTAGCAGCCTTCACTATATTGTCCTGGAAGCTTAAAAATACCAATGTTGAGCAACGTGGGGGCACCAGAGCATATTTTTATTGGCCTATAATACACATTAGACTGGAACAAATTTTAAGGAAGTTTTTGAACAGATAATCGCTAGGTATGAACTGCACTACTTTTTTACATACAATGTGACCTATTTAGGCCTCGTAACAGGTGAAATAATGTTCAAAATAGGTTTCGTTGAAAGCTAGGTTCCGCGGCAATAATAAAAAACACATCACACTCAAAAAGAAATAAAAAAATTGTAAATGCACAAGAATCACAGTGATGTAACAGTGGTCGTTTCCTTCAAGTAATGCCCGACATGATAGCGTAAAGAGCTTTTAACAAACAAAAGCATGCTCACTGCCGTTCGCGGCCACCTCATGCAGGACCGCCTCCAAGAGTGCAGCGCGAGAGCCAAGAAATCTCGCCGCATTAACTATCTCGTAAAGCACGTGCATATGACACTAAGTGATAAGCGAGTGGCACTGATAACGCCTCTCTACATGAGCAACCACACGGTATTATTATAGCACAAGTTGGCCGGTTTTATATGTAGAGGTCGCCACCCTTCAGTCATTTAGTTCGGCTGCCACTAGCATGTGGCGCCCGATAGATTGTATATATTCTGCCCCGAATAAAGGGGGGGGGGGCTTTCCGTTAGCTGAGCAGTTGTTGTGCGTATCGTCTCTCTCCGCGGGCACGGGCCGCTCGTGCTCCTACACGCTCGCGCGGGACCAGTCACAAGACATGGTGTCAGAAGTAGCTGCGTAACGCCCCCTCATCGCGAACTCGCCCGAACCGCAAGACGATGGCCCTCGATGGAGTGGCGCCGAAAAAGCTCAGCCTCAACTCAACCTCCAGCCGCCCGCACCGTTCGACTTTGTGAACCTGGGAACCTGGCCAGTATGGCTCAGCCGCTACGAGGACTACGCTGTCGTTTCCGGCCTGACTCAAGCATCCGGCGACATGCAGGTACGCTCGTTGTTGTAGTGCATGGGGCCGGAGGCCCGCCCACTTCTTGAGACGTTTTCGCTCGACACCGCATCACTCGCCTCATTTCAAGCGGTTGCCGCCAGCTTCACCGACCACTTCGTGCATCCGGCGAATGAACTGTACGAGTCGTCGCGTTTTCACCGGCGTGTTCAGTTACCCGACGAGAGCGTCGACGCCTACTACGCCGAACTGTGTAGAATGGTGAAGCGGTGCAACTATCCGTCACCCGAGGTGGAGCAAGGGCTTGTACGCGATAGATTTGTCGTCGGCCTCCGCGACTCGCGCCTTTCAGACCAGCTTTGGCGGAACGCGAAGTTGACGCTCAAAGAAGCATGGATGCAGGCCCGTCAATCAGAAGACGCCGACAAAGAAAAAACGTTGCCTCAAAACTGCGCAGAGCACTCCCGCGAGCTACACCTCGACGCCGTACGAGATAAGAAGTTCGCCTCTCGCCGCCGCAACTACGATAAGCGGCCTTCGCCCCCGCGGAAAGCAGAGCCCTCCTGCCAGCCGTCAACACGTGAATTCTGCGGCCGCGCGCCACATCCACGTTCTAACTGCCCTGCTCGAAACTCCGTCTGCAACTTCTGCAAAAAGAAAGCACACTTTGCGGAAGTGTGCCGCGCGCGGCAGGCAAAACAGAAGCTCGGCTCCATTCAGCTACACGCTGTCGGGACGCTCGCCGCGGCAAAGTTCGTCGACATCACCATTGACAACTACACAGCGCAGTTCAAGGTCGATTCCGGAGCCGAGGTGTCCGCCATTCCTAGCGACTTCCCTGCATTGCCGGCCAAGCTCGACCCCGTCAACAGCCTGCTCGCCGGACCTGGCGGTCAGCCGCTGCTCGCCCCGCCGCGGTGGTCTAGTGGCTAAGGTACTCGGCTGCTGACCCGCAGGGCGCGGGTTCGAATCCCGGCTGCGGCGGCTGCATTTCCGATGGAGACGGAAATGTTGTAGGCCCGTGTGCTCAGATTTGGGTGCACGTTAAAGAACCCCAGGTGGTCTAAATTTCCGGAGCCCTCCACTACGGCGTCTCTCATTATCATATAGTGGTTTTGGGACGTTAAACCCCACATATCTATCTATCTATCTATCTAGCCGCTGCGCGTGCTGGGTTTGTACATGGCGAGACTTCGGTGGCACGGGAAAATGAGCTCTCAGCGCTTGTACGTGATCCAGTCTCTCACCGTACCTCTTCTTGGACTGCCAGCGCTTCAAGCTCTGGAAGTTGTAAAGTTTCTCGACGAACTCCGAAAGCAACATTGCGTGCTGAGCTCTCCAGCGATTGGGCACCCTCAAGGACTAGTACACTATCCTTCTGAAACCTGGCGCTGTACCCTTCTCCCTAAGTGTGACCCCGAGTAGCAGGATTCCCATCCCGCTACTCGGGGTCGTCCGTCACGAGCTTGACAAACTGGAGGAAGGAGGCGTGATCCGCAGGGTCGACAAACCAACCCCGTAGTGCTCTGGTCTCGTTGTAGTATGGAAAGCCGATGGTTCCTACCGGCTGTGCGTTGACTTGACTCAGCTGAACAAGATTGTCCTTCGGGAACGCCACATCCTACTAACGGTAGAGCAAGTCCTTGGCTTCTTGGCGACGCAACAGTTTTCTCCAAGCTGGATGCAACAGCCAGTTTTCATCAGGTTAAACTATCCGCAGACTCCCAAGAGCTCACAACGTTCATCACCCCATTTGGCCGATACTGCTTCTGCCGGCTCCCCTTTGGCATCACCTCTGCGCCGGAGTACTTCCAAAAACAGATGGCCAGGATCCCGGAGGGACAGGAAGAAGTCGCCAATATGGTAGACGTCATTCTGGTCTTTGGGCGCACCCGCGAGGAGCACGATGCCAGACTGAACCAGGTGCTGTCTCGCCTTGCAAAAGCAGGCATCACGTTGAAGTAAGACAAGTGTCGTTTTGGTGTCTCCAAAGTCTCCTTCCTAGGAGTCATCGTTTCAGCACAAGGCATCAGGCCAAGTCCAGACAAGGTCGAAGCAATCAAAGCCATGGAGGCTCCAACCGATATCGCAGGTGTCCGGCGACTGCTCGGAATGGTGAACCATCTTGCCCGGTTTTTGCCTTGCATCTCAGAGGTCACAGCTCCCATCAGAGCACTTCTCAACAAGTCTGCGACTTGGGTGTGGCAGCAGGAACAAAATGCTGCATTCGAGAAAATCAAGGAACTCCTGACATCAGACCGTTGCATGGCCAAGTACCATCCATCATACGCCACCACAGTTTCGGCTGACGCAAGCTCATTCGGACTGGGCGCAGTCTTGCTGCAGACACAGCCCTCTGGAGAGTGCCGCCCAGTTGCGTTTGCTTCGAGATCAATGACCGAGACAGAGCAGCGTTACAGCCAGACAGAAAAGGAAGCGTTGGCAACAACATGGGCTATCCAACGGTTTGACGAATTCATCCGCGGCATCACCTTTGATGTTGAGACAGATCACCTACCACTCGTTTCTCTCTTCGGCAAGATGGAGCTGGACATGCTGCCGCCTCGCATACAGAGGCTCAGGTTAAAGACCATGCGATACCAGTTCCGAATGCTTCACGTGCCAGGAAAGCTGTTAGCTACGGCAGATACCTTGTCACGCATCACCCAAAAGGCGTCCCTTCCCATGGACACCGTGGAATTGTTTGTAGCTCAAGTGGTCAGCGGCATGTCAGAAGCCTTGCCACTAAGCCCAGAGGGCGTGCGACAACCACAAGAGTCCGATGGCGAATGCAGAGCCCTCACCTCCTTCTGCCAGAATGGTTGGCCACAGAAGTCCAAACTGCCACTGCACCTCTCCCAGTACGCCTCAGCAGCAGATGAGCTCTCTGTCTGTGACGGTGTTCTACTGAAAGGCGCCAGGATGGTCATCCGGCATTCTCTTCGGCCGGCTGTTTTGACGCTGTTGCACGAAGGACACCAAGGCATCAACAGGACGAAAGCCCTCGCTCGAGAGTCCATTTGGTGGCCTGGCATTTCGGCAGACATTACCTCTCTGGTAACTAACTGCGAGCAATGTGCTTCCACTCGGGAGAACCTTGCAGAGCCCCTGGTCTCCACGGTCCTACCTGGACATCCCTGGGAACTTGTCGGCATGGACCTTTTCCACCTCCGCAGCCAGACATTCATCTTGGTGGTGGACTACCACTCCAGGTACCCTGAAGTTGTAACCTTGAGGAGCACAACGGCTCAGGCAGTCATCGACGTTCTCAAAAGCATCTTTGCTCGGCATGGGATTCAACGAGAAGTCAGATCAGACAACGGTCCACCGTTCTCTTCACGCGAGTTTGCAGCATTGGCGGCATCTTACGGCTTTGACCACGTCACCAGCAGCCCAAACTATGCGCAATCGAACGGAGAGGCGGAGAGAATGGTCAGGACCATCAAGGAGTTGTTTCGCACAGCAACAGACCCTCATCTGGCCTTGCTTAGCTACCGGGACACCCCCGGAGTCGATGGCTTCAGCCCGGCCCAGCTCTTGATGGGACGACAACTCCGAACCAAAGTGCCGAAACAGGACTCCCAGGTATGTCCTCACTGGCCGTCGAGGAAAGACGTGAGGAGAAAAGATGCAGCCTACAAGCAGAAACAGGCCGCTGACTTTAACAGGCATCACAGAGCTCAAGATCTGTCATCGCTCCGAACAGGCCAGTGCGTCTGGGTACGACCTGATAGGTCAAAGCTACAGTGCTTAGCCCAGCACGCCGACCACGAAGTTATGTCGTAGAAGTGAAGCAGGGTGGCGTCCTACAACGCAACCGGCGTCACCTAGTGCCTTTTGCACTTCCTGCGCCAAGGGTGGAACCACCGCCGTCTGAGGAGCAGGAGCCACAGCGAACACTGCCTCCTCTGGAACCCCAGCGAACTACTACAGTGCAACCACCCGATTCCCTTGGACTGCCCCCTGCAGACAGTGACTGCAGTGATGGTGTGACACGAACACGTAGTGGCCGCCGTGTTGTGCCTCCGAACCGCCTGAACTTGTGATGTGCAGTGTCTGGCGTCCTCCGTCTTCCGTCTGGTCTTCAAGGGGGGTGATGTAGAGGTCGCCTCCCTTCAGTCATTTAGTTCGGCTTCCACTAGCATGTGGCGCCCCTGAGATTGTATATATTCTGCCCCGAATAAAGTGGGGGGGCCTTTTCCGTTAGCTGAGCAGCTGTTGTGCGTATCGTCTCTCTCCGCGGGCACGGGCCGCTCGTGCTCCTACACGCTCGCGCGGGACCAGTCACAAGACATTATATATTTTTCAATATCTATAGGTCATCACCGCCGATGAAGAACTCCCAATAATACATCGACTTGAGATTGCTGCCCGCACTGCTCCGTGACTGGCGTAAAGTGATCGCGCAGCGCAGGTGAAAAAATTCCTGTCCACGCAAACAAACTGGTTTGGCAGGTTCTATTGCAAAAAAAAGAAGGAAAGAAAGAAATGAAGTAACACTGCCGCCGACGGAAACACTGATTGAGACAAGCCAAATGCTCGCGTAGCCCAGGGCCTGTACGCATGCAGAGACGCCTCTTTAGGCACTTGTTGCGACTTTCGACAACAAATTGGAGCTGTAGCAAATCACCATTAATGAAAACTCTGCCAAGTAGTTGCCGATGCATATTGAGTCACGAATGAATCGCTGAGGTGCCCGTTATTATTATTTACAATGGTTTGAACACTCCTTTTGTAACCGCGGCTTCGCATGTAACCAAGTCTTTCTCTCTACCTGCAGACAATGAAGTGCGGATTTCACTCGCGATGGCTTTTTTAAATACAAAATGCAATGAGAACTCGCCTGTCTAAATAAATTAGTAGCTAATGGGTGTAAACCGGAAATGGGTTGCACACATTCCGCCGCTCACGAAACTCATTCTGAGAACCCATGTGCCTTTGCCAGAGCATCCGAGAGATGCGTCAGATGCAGGGAAAAATGACTCCACGTTTACAGTTATTCGCTCACAGCAAACACGTCCTCGTTGGTGACCGCATGCAGCAGCGTCGACATGACAGCCAAAGTGACTGGAGGAACGCCTTATGCACGACAGAGAACCGGATAGTCAAACCCGCTATGCTTGCCCCCAACTCGGTGGTTTTCGCTAGCCAACAGTGGCAATAGAACACACAGCTTAGCTAATCGAAGCAGCACGCTCGATGCACGGAAGCACTCTTTTGTGGGGTCACGCATATTTGCTAAAGTTTAAAATTATGGCAGCACCATGGGAGCCTTTGTCACGAAAAAGATGGAAAGTGAAAAAAACACAATTGGGTGCGTCCTATTAGATCTATTCTCCATTTTTCCCCACAGATCTGAGGTCGGCATAAAAATTCTAGCTTTCGAGGCTGTTTCGGAGCAGTTCGGTGCAGTTTTCTTGATTAATATGGTCTTGGAGCAGCTTGGCGCAAAAAAGAAAAATGTATCAAAATGCGGATTATGAGCAGCCGCCTCACTCCTTACCAAGGCATGTGTGTTGGCAGTACAGACCCAGGTTGCAACAGCCTCTTTCGCCTTACGCATTAGCTTATTCCCAAAGATCAAAGATGAATTGGCTGCATCTTTGGTACAGGAGGATGTGTGTAAGTCATGCGTCCTCAAGGTATTGAGCAGTGTTTATGTTTAGATCCGGAGGTTTCCTACAACAAGTTTTCCAGAATATGCGGTCACTAGATCCTGCGAAAAGATGGCAAGATGGATCAAACTTTTCAGCCAACTCGAAGTTTGTGAGGAAAATTGTGAAAGCCGCTTCAGCCTGCTGTCTACTTTAAGTTTTTATTGGTAAGAGCTCTTATTAGTACATGAAAATACACAACACTTGTTAGACTTGTTCAAAAGGTGTCGCACAATTAGGAGTGTCACATCCGGATATTTTATTTCATTTATTTATTTATTTCCAGGTACTGTTGGCCGATTGGGCCGTTACAGGGGTGGGGTAGAAAACTGTCATAACAACGCTCATGTCATGCGTAAAAAAGAAATGCATAGAAGATACAAAAGGAATACATCACTATACTACGTTCTACGACTTACATGCTACATCACATACATCATAAGATACACTTGCCAATATTACATCCTACAACGTACATGAGACAAGTTACAGCAAATAGATTCCTAGTCAAAAGATGACAGACACACACACCAAAAACTGCAATCACCGTTTACGAAGACTCACTTAGAAAATATTTCGTAACATTGTTTTCAAAATGTTCTGCAGTTTGAGAATCACGTATAGCATCGGGTAATACATTCCAGTCTTTTATTGTTCTAGGGAAAAAAGAGTATGCATATGTGTTCACACGACATTGAGGAACTAGATATTTTCTGAGGTGGTCACTTCGTAGGCTCCGCACTTGACGGGGAATTAGGTACTGCTCTGCATCAAAGTTAAATGTAGTTTGGGAAAGCAGGAACAAGAATTTAGGTCTGGCTATGCGACGGCGGTCCACGAGGGGCTGTAAATTTAATTCTTGCAGCATCTGTGTTACAGAATCTTTACGAGAATATTTTGAAAGAATAAGTCTATCCGCCCTTCTTTGTACCCGCTCGATGTTTTTAATTAATCCTTTTTGATAAGGGTCCCATATGATGCATGCGTATTCCAGTGTAGGCCTTACTATTGTTAAGTACGCTGTTAACTTTACGGGGGCTGGAGCCAGTTTTAATTTGCGACGTAAGAACCATAGCTTCCTTTCAGCAGTAGAGCAAATATTACTGATATGTTGGGTCCAGTTCAGGTCTTCAGATATTGTTACTCCTAAGTATTTACATCTGTTAACGGTAGCTAACGCAGTTGAACTAAGTTGATACTCGAACATTTTGACGTGCTTTACTTTGTTTGTAACTCGCAAAACAACCATTTTTTTTCTTTATTTGCATTTTCCATGTTTCGCACCATTTCTCGATATATGCCAATGCATCGCTGAGTATTTTTTGATCACTATGGTTACATATTTCTCGATAAAGTAAACAATCATCGGCGAACAGCCTAACAGTAATATTTTGATTAATGTCGGAACAAATATCGTTAATATAAACGAGAAAAAACACCGGTCCGAGTACAGACCCTTGAGGGACTCCAGATGTTACGTGTAAACGATCAGACTTGTAGCCGTTTATGTCCACATACTGCGTCCTACATGTCAGATATGACCTGACCCATTCTACTACATTGTTAATTATGCCAATCGGCTTCAATTTCTTAATTCGTTATGAGGAACCCTATCGAAGGCTTTTGCGAAATCAAGGCATATTGCATCAACCTGTCTTTCGTTATCTATTGCTTTTGAAAAGTCTTGGATGGTCTCAAGAAGCTGCGTTACGGTTGATAGCTTTTGTCGGAAGCCGTGTTGGTTAGGATTTAGTAGTTTTGTATTTTCTAGGTACTGATATATAGCTTTGAATATAACATGTTCGAGGAGTTTGCAGCAGACGCAGGTTAAGGAGATTGGTCGGTAATTTTCGATATTCTGCTTGTCTCTGGTTTTGTGTACCGGGACCACTTTTGCTACAAGCCAGTCGGCTGGGACCCGTTTTTGTTGCAAGGAGACATTAAAGATTATTTCCAAGTATCGGGCAACCCATTCAGCGTATCTACGCAAGAAAGCATTTGTAACCCCATCAGGACCAACAGATTTATGTTCTTTAATGTTTAGCAGGAGCGATAGTATTCCTTCATAGCTAATGCGTACTTCTGGCATGTCAGACATATGGGAGAATGATGTTGCTGTAGTTGAAGCACTACATTCGGAATCGTTTGAAAAGACAGACTGGAAGAACTTATTATGGTAAGACGCAATTTTCGAACAGTCGGTTATGATTTCGTCGTCAACAACAATGCTGTATTGTCTTTGAGGGATTTGTGACAAATGACGCCAAAACTTTTGCGGGGAAGACACCATGAAGTTTGTAAGTGTTTCCTCGTAATATTTCTGTTTTTCTTGCCACAGCGTTGTACGCAACTGTGAAGATAAGTTTGATATTTTTTCATGCTTTTTGGCTTTCCTTTGCCGTCCTATTTTTCGCTTCAGACGAACTATCTCTCGCGTTATCCAGGGATTACGCCTATTCTTTCTCTTTTTTCTTAATGGTACGAATGAATTTACACAGTGAAAGATAATGGTTTTGAATTTTGTCCACAAAGAATTGACGTCATCATCAGGGCTCAGACTGTCTAGATGAAATGATAAGTAGTCAATGATGCTCGTGTCATCAGCTTTATCAAAATTGGGGACATGCGCAATACATTCTTTAACATTTGATGCAGGAACGTCGGCTTTAATTTGTACAAATACTAGTTGATGGTCCGATATGCCATTTTCTACTGCTACCTGATAATCTTCAAACCGTCCATCAAGAAATACTAGATCCAATATAGCCTGCGCTGTTCCCGTTTTGCGAGTGCCTTCCTGTGCCAACTGCGTTAAATCGTTAGCGAAAGCAATGTCAAGCAGCACTTCACAGTCAGCTCGTTCCCGTGACTCTATGGTAAGTGATTTCCAATCAACCCCAGACAAGTTAAAATCACCGGCAATTATTAACCGCTGGTTTCGAGTCTTCTGTTGTTCTACATAGTGCTGAATCGCCTCTAAGTATTCAGTTGATGTGTTAGGGGATCTATAGATTGCTCCTATTACGACTAAATTGGTTCCAAATTTTACTTGGCACCAAGCGCTCTCCTGATTAGGGATACCATTCATGGTTACGAATTCAATATTTTCCTTTATTATGATTTCAACTCCTC